CTTAAGTGTTTTGTGGTCAATTGGATGCTGAATCCTAAAAATGACATGTCCTGTCCAGTCATAGCAAACAGTACTATGATAGAATGACACAGAAGACTTCACCTGAGCGGATATGATGGTACCAAGGTGTGTACAGGAACCTGACACACCCTGCAGCCTGGAAAGCTTCAAGCCGTAGGGCACATAAACTTCGTATGTGTATGAACATTTTAACCACTGTAATCCATCCTGTTCTTGCAGGAGAAAGGTGTGTTTGTTTGACGAGTATAGGCATTGCTAGAACACCAAAGCTCACAGAAAGCTGGATTAACCCTATTGATAATGAAGTGATCCAATACTTAGTACAGCTGGTTATGTGCTGAAACAAAAGTCTTCACATTGATACAGTTTATACAAAACACATATGCTGCAGTCTGTCACTGGTATCAACAGACCAGTTTTTTATGAGTCTCCCCTGTAACAGTTTTATTACTGGATGATCCTGCCAGTAAATCCATTCATTTTTCTACTTCCTGCAGTAGGGTAACACAATTCTTTCTGTAATGATATAATGCAGAAACATTGGTTCTCTATGGATAGGGTAGTCTTAAATTGGTTGTAAACCTAAAAATGTTTTACCTTAATGCATTTCTTGCAATAAGGTAAAAAATGTTGAATTTAATGTGTTTCCCCTTTACCCCACCTTTATGCTTTCCTGGGCCCTCACTCGATCCAGCGCAGTGCCTGTCTGCAGCAGCTGTTTCTTCTCTCACAGGCTTGGCTGAGAGCAGCAGGAGCCATTGGTTCCCACAGCTGTCAGTCAAATCCTGTGACCAGGAAACAAGGCCGAGCCTTGCTTGTGTCACAGAGGTTTAGTAACGCAGGTGTGCCACAATAGGAAGTGGCTTTCTATGGTGGCTCACCAAAAAGGAGGTGCTAGGAGCAGCGGCGGGGGACCTGAGAAGAGGAGGTTCAGGGGCACTCTGTGCAATTCCATTGCACAGACCAGGGAAGTATAACCCTGTTTGTTATTTTTAAAAAATTAAATTTTAGACTTTAAAATCACTTTAAGCTTACCACCCATGTTACAATCTGATTGTACTATCTCTTTTAGCTCTACTAAGAAGTATGTGGTTCAAGAGCCTGCCTGATTGGATGTAAATTATTTAGATAGACTAAGCTGGCCATACACTGATCAAGATTTGTGTGGTCAAATTTCAGTAAGTGTGTTGGCTCTCTGATCAACAGAAATTGATTGTTCAATCAACGTTTGTCAAAGGTACATGTTGGAAAAATTTCCATCGATGAGCAGAAGCAGCCATTCGACCACAGCCACTGATCAGTGTATCTTGACAGTTGTGCAGGCCACTGTCAGTATACAATCTCTCAATAAGGTGGGGGGGGGGGGGGGAGTATTGAGGAATCTCATTTGTGTGAATTCAGAGAATGCTTTAAGGTTAAAAAAAAAAAAAACATTTGTCTTTGCAACTACTTTAACTGTATGAATGATCATTGTCACAGAGACACACTTTGGAGAGATTTCCTTTTATTTCCTGTTGTGTCGCAGTAGAGGAACTGAAGGGAAAACTCCCTAGTGGGACACAGCAAAGAAATATCCCAATAGGGGTTGTACTTTTCCAAAACTAAAAAAATGTTTGCTTTACATAAACTGAAAGTAAGAGGAAGTTGATTCATACATTCAATGCTGTAGTTACAGATATGAACCACATACCTTAAGCAGCATACAATATTAAAGTGATTCTAAAGGCTTATTTTTGTTATAGAAAAAAATAACAAACATGTCTATACTTACCTGCTGTGTGCAATGGTCTTGCACAGAGCAGCCCGGATCCCCCTTTTCTCGGATTCTCCGCGGTGCTCTTGTCCCCTCCCTCCTGTTGGGTGCCCCCACAGCAAACAGCTTGCTATGGGGCACCCGCTGCTCTGTGTGCCCATTCACACACGGAGCGGCAGCTCGGCCCCGACCCTACTCTTTTTTCATTGGCTGTAAATGACAGCAGTGGGAGTTAATGGCTTCCGCTTCTGTCTCAGTCAATGAGAAGAGGGAGTCCCTGGATAGCCGAGACTCTAGTGCACATCGCTGGATTGAGAGGGGGCTTAGGTGAGTATTAGGAGGGGGGGGTGCACACAGAAGGCTTTTTACATTCATGCATAGAATGTATGAAGGTATAAAACCTTGAGCCTTTGGAACCACTTTAACTCTTCCTTAACCACCGCCTCGTTCTCTCGTTCTGATAGGACGTCACATGACTTCCTACCATTCTCACTGCTCAGGGAGCGTGCAGCGCGGCGATCGCCGGTGCGCTGTGTCCCTTGGACACAGCCGATCACGGAAAGAGCCGAAGATGTCGGCTCGATCATGTGATCAGCTGTGTCCAATCACAGCTGATCATATGTAAACACGGAAATGCCGGTTATCGGCATTTCTCTCCTCTCGAGCTGTCACGCTTACAGCTCGAGAGGAGAGGAGAGCCGGTAATTGGCTTTCCGCGGAGGGGACATGTACACTGATCATCAGGGCACTGATGATCAGTGTGGCCCCAGAAAAGTGCCACCTGTTAGTGCCCATCAGTGCCACGTGCTAGTGCCCATCAATGCCACATATCAGTGCATACCAGTGCACATCAATGCCACATATCAGTGCCCATCTGAGCTTCCTTTCAATGTCATCCATCAGTGCCAGTCAGTGCCACCTATCAGTGCCAGTTAGTGTCGCCTATCAGTGCGCATCAGTGCCAGTCAGTGCCGCCTAACAGTGCCATATATCAGTGTCATGTATCCGTGCTGCCTTTCAGTGCCCATCAGTGATGCCTGTCAATGCCCATCAGTGCAACCTACCAGTGCCTCCTCATCTGTGCCCATCAGTGCCACCTATCAGTGTCCATCAGTGCAGCCTATCAGTGCCCATCACTGCAGCCTCATTAGCGCACATCAGTGAAGGAGAAACATCACTTATTTACAAAACTGTATAACAAAAACTAAGAAAAAAAACAGGGTTTTTTTTCAAAATTTTCAGTGGTTTTTGGTTTGTTTAAGAAAAAATAAAAATCCCAGAGGTGATTAAATACCACCAAAAGAAAGCTCTTTCTCAAAAAAATGATAAAAATTTCATATGGGTACAGTGTTGCATGAGCGCGCAATTGTCATTCAAAGTGTGACAGCACTGAAAGCTGGAAATTGGCCTGGGCAGGAAGGGGGTATAAGTGCCCTGTAGGCTAGTGGTTAAAGTGGAACTAAAGTCTGCAGTACTCGTCTCTCCTTCAATGGTTCGAGGCATTTTCTAAAGCCAACCCGTGAGATCCCTTGACATGTGCCATGCACTTTTGTTTGCTCTCAGTGTGCTGTATGCCTTGCTGCAGCTTCCTGCTCAGATACTCAGTCAATTCTGTAGTTTTTCCAAGACTTAATGCCTGACTTTTTGGGATGTGCATGAGCCTTTGTTCAGGCCTTGTAGCGATCTCTAAGCAAGCCGGCCTTGCTATGTGCCCTATGTCCTTTTATATGCCCAAGAATCAATGACTTTTTTCAGCTGCTTACACTTTCTTGTCCTCTAGTTAGACACTGCTCTATTGTTTGCAGATGGGAATTCTCCTTCTTAAAGTGTACAGGACTGAATGTATAATGAACATTACAGCACTGGTACATCGACATGATCTCCACTAGGAACTCTAGACCTCCTAGATAGGAAAATAGATTAGTAGTAAAGGGGTTGAAAGAAATATTTCACATGCAGCTCCAAGCAAGATGAGGTTCCATCTCAGGTACTGGCTCCGCTCATCTCTACCGACACGATTAGTTGTACCAGCAGCAGTAACCACACACAAAGATGCAAAAGAATATTCTTTCTTTATTAAAACATCCAAGTTTTATTTTGCATCGCAGAGCATGGCAATCCGATTTATGATATAATTGAAAGGGGTAAAATTACTTTTCACTTTGTCAGAAGCTGACCCTTAAGCTGGCCATATGTGAGTAATTTTTTTTTTCACTCAAAACAGTGGGCTGAACAAAAAAAAAATTACTTGATTCCCCCATCCACACAATCATTGTGGATGGGGGAATCCCACCCGCTGAGCCATTGTATTCTGACAACAGGAGACCTGCTCCCTGTCAGAATACATGGATCAGCACCTCCTGCTATTGCTGGCAGTGCTGATTGAGAGAATTTTCCAACAGGCTAGTTGTACTCAAGTCGATTGATAGATCTACTTGGGTATAACCAGCCTTCTCATATATGAATAGAATTTTGTCTGCTCCCTGCTGAGCTTGCTGGATTTCGATCCCACAGGAACTAATCAGAATCCACCTTTCATTTGCACAGTTGAAGTGGTTAAATCAATGTAATTCCCTGGATTACTGTCTTGCCCATAGATCCTTGTCTTAAAAAATACGGATCAGATAGACTGATTTATTCTGGTAATACCAGAAATCAGTGTACAATGTGTAACATGGGAGCATCTAATTTGTAGCATTCAGTGGTGTTACGGGCCACACAGAGGGTGATTGTTTTCATGCATTGAAAAGGGGGGTGGAGGGTGCAAAAGCCATCAGAGGAGCCAGAGGCTGTAAGAATAAGCAGTGGCATGTCTACTCCCCCTCTTCCCTCCACATCAAAACAGTAGAATTAATCCGGCGATTTGGCAGCACTGAAATGTCATGTTTGTTGTCCTGCATCTGTTAACTCTCTCATAACCTGCTTCCAATAGGCAAATGCCTGTGCTGTAGTAATGATCTGCAATGCTGTCTCCCCTACCTCACATTTGTTCTCTTTCTCTTTAGCCTCCTTCTCAGAAAGAGTTCGGAACATGTCTCCAGATGACATCAAAATCCCTCCTGAACCTCCAGGCCGATGTTCAAATCACCTGCAGGTAAACTGCAAGGACACACCTATCAACCTGTAAATTGGTGTCCAGTACAAAGATGTCCTACACAGTGTAACCCCACGGCTTATATAGATGTACATATTGACTATTTATCTCCTCTGTGTTGTGGATACCACATTTGAAGTCTTGAGTGGCCACGTGTGTCTGTGAGGAATGCAGTATGTAGGTGTGAGAGGCCACCGAGGACAGAGACAGCCCATCTGTCTTAGCCCTAAGAGTTGTGCATGCTGAAGCCTGCCCAAAATATCGCACATCCAAATTATATTCTGTGGCTGAATTCTGGCTGATTGCTATGTACTGTATACAGCCATATAGATGTGAACACTATATTTGTGTATAATACATACAATGATGATACGTGTCTACTCTCTTTTCAGCTTAAAGCTGAACTAAAGGCAAATAGCTAAATGTGAAAAAGCAATACATATATAAGAACTGGTTTCCAGTCAAAAGATCTGTACTTCTGTGAGATTTGCACAGCCCCATTACACAGGGCAGCCACCCTGAAGTCCTGACTTTTCAATATTGTAGTTATGTAATACATCCAGTTTTTGTCCCCGCTGTTTGTGATTGGAAGGAGAAGCAGTAGATCAATGAGGTCTTCCCTCTACTTGTCCCTCAGGACAATCTACTTGTCCAGATGATAAAAAATAAATAAATTTTAACCAAAACCATATATAAATGCTTTAAAAAAAAAAAAGGGGGGGGGGGCTTTATGGCGTCTTAAAAGTCAATATTTTTAACATTGCATTGTTTATCTCCTCCTCCCTTCCCTGCCTGTCTCCAGCACCGCACACAGGGAGAGGAGAGACCTTGCAGTGTAATGAGCACCAATTGGTTGCTTGGCAAGAAAGGGGGTGTGGGGCTTATCCTTTATCCCTTTCACTGCCAGAGTGCTTTTTGCAATTTTTTTTTGTTGCACACGGTTAAAAAAATCATTTTAGGCCTGAAGATTACATAAAACCCCCAAACATATATTTTCTGAAAGCATAGACCCTAGAGAATAAAATAGTGGTAGTTCCAATTTATGTTATTTTATATTACCACAAATGTTTAGGAAACGCAAAATTTCAGTAAAAAAAATACACTTAATTTTAGGCACAAAAAAGCAGTAAATTACCTATTTATTTTTTTTAAATAAAGATCTGGTTGCATCGAGTAAATAGATACAGTATCCAACATGTCAAACCTTAAATTTGAGTGCGCTCATGAAATGGCGACAAACTTTAGGTCATCAGTTTATTGTTACAGAGGGGGTCTGGTGCTAAAATTATTGCTGTCACTCTGGCGTGCATGGCAATACATAACATGCGTTTCGCAATCGACTTTTTCATGAGTAGTTGTCCTGGCGTGTGCTTTTACGTTTGCACGTGTGTATATGTGCGGGGGGGCTCAAATTTTTGTTGTGCTTGGGTGTAACTTTAATTTTTTTACAATTAAAAAAAAGTTTAGTTTTTAAAAAGACACTGCATGTCTCCCCTGTACTCCAATGGATGTAATGCAGTGCATATTGCAGTGCATTACATTATTTCCTGGCTTTGATGGCTGGGAAATCTGTTAATGGGGACTCCAAAGTGACATCATAGTGTCACTTCCAGGTCAAGACAAGAAGAGGAGGGGAGTAGACGTGTCCGCTCTCCTCCACCCCCTCTACATGCTGGCACAACTGGTCCCGGCCCCGCAGTTGGGCAAGTGGATCCCAGGAGACATAGCGGGCAAGACAGAGGTACGTGGGGTGGTAGAGGCAGCTGGTACTGTGGGCTGTGTGGAAGCAATTACCGCTGCCACCTGAATGCTTCCACCTGACAGATGACCCCTGCTGTTTGCCCGGCAGGGCTACAGGTTTAAAAAATCGACCTACCCAGTGCCCAGAACTACATGTCCTGGGCATCGGGCTATACAAATTGAACATCCCTGCTCTACCCTCTCCTTCTATCAGCATGTATCTTGTTAGCATATGAGCACTGCAGCAAAATGAACTCGCTCCTTGTGCTGCTTCTCCCTTTCCCAGTCAGTAGGGGTGTGGAAAGAGCCGATACCAAGTTAAAGTTTAACTCAAGGCAAAAGCTTTATTTAATTTTGAATAGCGTAATGGAGAGTTATAAACCCTGTCGTTTAGTTTTGTTTTGTTTTTTTGTTTGTTTGTTTGCCTTGTGTCCCATTGTGGAGCTTTCAGTTCACTTCCTGTCCCATAGCAAAACAGGAAATGAGAGAAAATCAACTCCCAAACCCCCAGCACAAATAGTCAGTGTTGATTAAGAGAGTGAAGTTCTGCTTTAAGGAAATGCGTGTGCCAGACCAGTGACTCGGAGTACTGAACAGTATGGACGCCAGGCAGCTAACATTTTCACATAGTGACACAGCGCAAATAAAATGATGTAAGAAAATTAGAATAAGTCCAAAAACGCAAAGTCCCAAATTAAAGTCCAGTGTCCCAAAAGTTTGTGACAAAAAATAACTATAACACAAACTTCATAAATTTTCCAGCGTGCTCACACCATCGGTGATAAATCATTTGCTCCACACTCACCAAATAGCGTGGATTCTTAAGCTGATATAGCTTTGAGAAACAAAAAGAGGCTTAGAGGTGGAGTGTAGTTTTCTCAGATGTTATTTCTCCCTTTTAACGATTCCTTACTGAAGCTCCTTCCAGGGTGATTCCACATAGGGCGATATAAAAGAAAAATGCCAATAGTATAATACTGTATGAGGGTCAAAGAAAATTTTCTTAAGACCTTCCTTGCACTCACATTAGGTGGCTTCAAAACCAACTTCCATGGATTCATGTGCCTCCCAAACAACCGATAGTGATCCCTCCTTCACTTCCTCCAAGCTCTCACTCATGGATGGATGGATAAGAGTGATTTGATAAATTTGTGACTAGCTTGTTTGGACAAAAAAGCCTCCCAAGCTGCCGTTAATGATTCCTCCTTAATTTCCCCTAAACTCTCGCTCCATGTGGGCACATCCGCTTACTAAGATGGCCGTTAGGCCTGGAAACGGCGGCGTGCCGTCACTGAAGCGTTTCATGCACATGCACGTCTTCGTGGGATGCTATATCATCTTATGGTATTTGGTGAGTGTGGAGCAAATGATTTATCACTGATGGTGTTAGCACGCTGGAAAATTTATGAAGTTTGTGTTATAGTTATTTTTTGTCACAAACTTTTGGGACACTGGACTTTAATTTGGGACTTTGCTTTTTTGGACTTGATGTTTAGTCATTTTTTTTTTTTTTTTTTTGAACAGCAGCATTTATTTTGATTTATTTGTATTTCTTTGGCACAAGTTTTCGGTTTATAGCTAACATTTTCAGAAGAAAGGGACAGCAATGGCAGCCTTATAGGATAAGTTCACCTTTTGACAAAAAATAATGAATGCACTTTTTTTTTTTTGCAGGTAAAAAATGTGCATTTATTATTTTTTGTTGCAGGAGCCTGTAAAGTATTGCACCAGCAACCAGCAGATCGCTGATGCCATGCAAGTCTCCTGCAGAACTGTCTGTATATCTGCAGGGTGCATGGGGAATCAGGAGCGACAGACCAGGATTCCCTAATTTTTGTGGGGGTGAGGGGGATAGTGGGTTACCTCCACTTCCTGTTTTGCTAAGGGACCGGAAGTGAAGGGGAAAAAAAAAAACAATTTGAGGGATCAGGCAGCAGCTGCAGCATTGGGAACATGTTAAACGGTTCCCAGAGGTGAACTTATCCTTTAATGTTTGTCATGGCAGTCCTTCAATATAAAGGGTACCCTTTTTTAAAGACCGTCACACCAGCCATAATTTGGTTATAAAGCCATATTTGTTTCATTACCTTTAGCATTTGGGTCATCTGTAGTTTTTTTTGTTCCATGTAATCTATAAGATGGCTGCATGTCTTTTGTCAGAGGTGGAAACCAAGAAGATTGATGGTAGAAGGGGAATTGTGTTGCCTACGGGCACACTTGGTTATTCAAGATATGGAGAATCCTGTGTATAGAGAACCCTTTCTTCTTTTTACACCATCGTCCATACCTGGAATCGCATTACAAATGTCTGAATGTAGAAACACAGTTACTGATCTCTTTGTGTGTTTAGACATTGTCTGGGTTTATTTAGGTAACTTCTGACAGCACTGTAGAATTGTGTAGGTGGTGGGTCCTCTACGTGCTATTCACCACCCAGCTCCCTTACTCATGAGCCTGTAAATTCCCATAGCTGTTAATTATAAGGGTAATCTTCTGATCGGCTTAGGATGCTCATACACAAGGTGATCTGATTGTTATGCAATGTTTCTAACCTTCAGAAGACCCCAGTCTTCATCCAAATTCCACATGTTCAGGCAAGTCACCCCCACCCCCCACATCCCAAGTTAAATGACATTTTGTAACACGTCAAACCTCCCAAGGTTCTTTGATTTTTTTTTGCATCCCAAATTCTGATGCAGATATGCTAAAGTTCTCTATAGCTTTTTTTCTTGCCATGTAGCCAGCTTAAAGTGAAGAGTGCTGCCTTTTAAGGTTTTAACATAAACATCCTATCTAGGAGCAGAAAACACATGATGTCCAATGTTCACTTTAATACCAAGAAAAACTACTCTGTGCTCCTCTCTGGCTTAGTTTCACTTAGTTACAGCAGTTTGGCTTTATTGCTAGGTCTTGTCAAAGTGTTATTCCACAGTCAAATGATGCTGCCTCAGTGGCCAGTAAAGGCGTTATGACTGGAAATGGCCATGACATTTGGAGAAACTTGGCTATCCTGGCATGGAAAGTCAGCTCACAGTTGTAAAATGAAACTACCGTAAATCGGATTAGGGCACAGATGAGGCTTTTTTTTACTAAATTATTATTATTATACAGTATTTATAAAGCGCCAATGGTTCGCTCAGCGCTGTACATTACAAAGGGGGACAGAACATGTGACAGAACAATAACAATACAATGCAAAACATGAGGGGTTCGAGGGCCCTGCTCTTTCGAGCTTACAATCTAGGAGGGAGGGGATGGTGGCACAGGAGGAGAAAGCTGTGGGGGATGGAGTGGTAGGAAGAGTGGAGGAGGTCGGCAAGTTAGCAGGGGGTGGGGTAGGCTTCCCTGAAGAGATGGGTTTTCAGGGTGCGCCTAAAGCAGAGGAGAGTAGGTGATAATCTGATGGGTTGGGGCAGGAAGTTCCAGAGGATGGGTGACACCCTGGAGAAGTCCTGGAGGCGGGCATGGGAGGAGGAGACCAGGGAACTAGAGAGAAGGAGGTCTTGTGAGGAGCGGAGTGTGCGTGCTGGGTGGTACTTGGATATTAGGTCAGTGATGTAGTTCGGGGCAGTATGGTGGACAGCTTTGTACATCAGTGTTAGGATTTTGAATTTGATCCGTTGCGCAATCGGAAGCCAGTGGAGGTATTGGCAGAGGGGGGTGGCGGAAATGGAGCTGTTGGAAAGGTAAATGAGTCTGGCAGCCATATTCTGGATCGACTGAAGCGGGGATAGCCAGCGGCGAGGCAGGCCCAGTGAGGAGGGAGTTGCAGTAGTCGAGTCGTGATATGATGAGGGTGTGGATGAGCTGTTTAGTGGTTTCTGGGGTTAGGAACGCGCGTATTTTGGCGATGTTAATAACAGTAATAGTGGGTATCTAACGATATCTGCTCTTAGGCAAGTTTCAGATAATGAGGTGAGAACCCCCAATGGCAGGATCGCTTTGGAGGACACATGCGGGCAGTGAAGCACTTCACTTCTTGCACACGTCTCTCCCTTGCTGGCAACTTGCATTTTGAAGCCTTTTCAGCAGTGGGGAAGAGACCCTTAACTGCTAAATGTTTGCAAGGGAGCACAGGGGAGTGTTCTCCCTGCATTTTTTCCAGCGATCTTGTCACTGGTGAATTCCCCCTTGTTATAGGATTGCAATTGTGGTTTTAGCCTGTTTACCTTCAAAAGATTAAAATGAAGATAAGGCTCACTTGAAGCATTTTGGAGATCTCTCCAAGTCCATGTCTGTGCAGTTTTGCCAACCATAGGATCTTAAATCATGGAATATCATTTTACAGGAGCATCTCTTATTACAGACATTCTCATGTGTGTGTCTGAGATCTGATGATGTCAACTTGAACGTTTTGTCATATCTGTCAAAATGATGGACACAAAAGCACCGATCCAAAAGAGTTTGTGCACCATATTCAACCTTATCTTCTACATACTGCTCTAATGCCATGCTTGCATTAGAAGGGTCAAGTTTATTTAGAACTTCATGTATCTTGGGAAAAAAATAGTTGCATAACAATGTTGTTATCCTTATTAAATAATCGATTTCTTCTTAGGAGAAAATTCACAAACTGTATGAAAGAAAGCTGAAAGAAGGGACAGATATGAATCAGATTATACAGAAGAAGAAAGAGTTCCGAAACCCCAGGTGAGATTAGGAAATGGCCATAATCATCAGAAATGTGCTGTCATTGCTAAATCTAGACCCCAACCATTATTTTCTTGGTCCTTTTTTTAAAAATGACAGCCTCTATGAATTTTCTGTGCACACCTCTTTTCTTCCCAGAGAAATGCATTTCTTGATGTGGTCGTACAGATATACTTAAAAAAGTGAACCTGTTAGTATTTGTTTTATTCTATCTGACTACGTTCGTAGCCCCCAGCTGGTTTTAGACTTAGGCTGGTAAAAAAAGGTATTGATTTCTGTCAGTTCTGTCCTATGATCCTCTGTCCAAGTCGGTACTAACCTATACTGTCCGTAGAGATTCTGCTTCAAAATTTAAAGACATTGTAAAAAGGGCCAGGACCAAGTTCCTTGGTCCTATTACGTGAATCCCTATTTAGTTGCCGGAAACTAGTTGCACGCCACTGGATACAGACAACCGTCCCTACACTTCAGGCATGGTTGATTGAAGTTAACTCAAATCTTCCATATAAGAAACACACAGAGGATGCCCCACAAAGTACAACAAAATATGGGATAGGTGGCTTGCTTCGCCTACCACTTACGCAACCTAATGCAATGGGGATATTTGTGGCCAGGTTTGCCCCATTAAACCCCCCCCCCCCACCCACTGAACCTTACCTTACCTTACTTTACCCTCAGGCATAACATATTTGTGCACCTTTTAATGATATTTGTATTATGATGGGTCCGCTATTCTCATATGACCCATGGAAAGGTTCCCTTGTACAAAATATGTAATTTTCTTTTGTGCAACATGTGAAATCGATGTGCCATGTTTTGATTTTCCCTGTTGTTCATAACTATATAGTTATTTTAATGTTAAAAAAAAAAGTCCGGGACCAACAAAAGAGCAGTGGTTTCCCTTTTGAAGTATCCAGAGCATAACCAGGAGCTAATTGGTCCCTCTAGACTTCACCTACAGTATATTGAAAATACCACTTGGATAGACTATTCCATGAAGCCAAGTATGCAGGATAATATGAATTTTTTCTGGGCCGGTATGTGCAGTTGTCTTTGCTTTAACAAACTTCTTTCTTCTTCCCCAGTATTTATGAAAAGCTCATTCAATTCTGTTCTATTGATGAACTTGGAACCAATTATCCTAAGGTAAGTGTAGCTTTTGCCTACCCTGCTATCATTGCAGAGGAAAGTTTATGTAGATAGTTAATCTGTTTTTAAAGAAACAAATAATCACAGATAGTTTTAAGCTACAGGGAAGAAAATAATTGCTTTTAGCAACAGCAATCGGATTCTAGATAATTGTATCTCTGGTGCAGTATAGCATATGAAAGCAGATATGTTTGTTTGATTTGGGCACCAGTCCTCTTTGTTCTTTGCTGAATGAGTTTATGAAGTATATAGTGATGTTTAAGGAATGTTTATTAAAATGTTTCTACTTGTTAAAAAATAATTAATTATTATTATTCATTACTGTGCTTTTCATTAGAGGTGACTGCATACGGTTTTAATATTTAGTAGTACATTCATGATATTGGTTGTTTTTCCATTCTGAGTTTAAATGTTCATTGTTTGCAGGATATGTTTGATCCACATGGATGGGCAGAAGATTCCTATTATGAGGCTCTTGGTATGTCTTTCCTTTGTTGGTAATGATGACATCGATTTTAACTGTGTTTGTGTATAATAATATATAAATATACAAAAAAAACAACAATGTGTGTGTATATATGTATGTATGTATGTGTATCTATCTATATATATATATATATATATATATATATATATATATATATATATATATATATATAGTCATATTAGTGGTAAGCAGCAAAACATACATTTTTCTGCCTGTGTAAACAAGTTGGTTGGTCCCCAGTGATCACCATAAACACCATAAAAAAACTTGCATGGTTGCAGATTTATGAGCCAAAATGTATTGCTTATTAACTCAAAAAGCGATACAGTGACATTTCAGGCACCCATGCTACTTGTACAGCTAATCACACAAGCCTATATACATTGCCTTGAAAAAGTATTCATTCATTCCCCTTGCAATTTTTCACATTTCCATGTTACAACCAAGAACGTAAATGTATTTTATTGGGATTTTATGTGATAGACCAACACAAAGTGGCAAATAATTGTGAAGTGGAAGGAAAATGATTAATGGTTTTCAAAATATTTTTACAAATAAATACCTGAAAAGTGTGGAGTTCAGCCCCCCTGAGTAAATACTTTGTAGAACCAGCTTTCACTGCAATTACAGCAAATTTCAAGTCTTGCCACAGATTCTCAATTGGATTTGGGTCTGGACTTTGACTGGACCATTCTAACACATGAATATGCTTTGATCTAAACCATTCCATTGTAGCTCTGGCTGTATATTTAGGGTCGTTGTCTTGGAAGGTGAACTTCCTCCCCAGTCTCAAGTCTTTTGCAGTGCCCATATCAGTGCCTCCCATCAGTGCTGCCTATCAATGCAGCCTAATCAATGCACATCAGTGAAGGAGAAAAATTACCTGTTTGCAAAATTTTATAACAGAAACAAAGAAAACCTTTTTTTTTCAAATACCTCCAAAAGAAAGCTCTATTTGTGTGAAAAAAAAAATGATAAATATGTCATATGGGTACAGTGTTGCATGACCTCGTAATTGTCATTCAATGTGCGACAGCGCTGAAAGCTGAAAATTGGCCTGGGTAGGAAGGGGCTATAAGTGCCCGGTAGGCAAGTGGAAACTGATGTTTAGCAGCTGCTCGTGTACATGAAGCCTAAAGTTGTAAGCCTACCCTACTTTAGTGGTCAGATTGTTTGATAATGGACATTTTTTGTCTTTGGAAGTACTTTGAATACTTGTCACTAACACACAGTTGACATATGCAGTTGGATGGGGCATTATAAATTGCATAAAACCAAAATAAAACAAAAGCTCTGTTGTCTTGTTTCTTCACAGTAATTTCACATATTGCTTGAACTGAGATGACATCATACTCTTTTCTCTTGTTTCTCTCGTAGCAAAAGCGCAAAAGATTGAAATGGATAAGCTTGAGAAAGCAAAAAAGGAGCGAACAAAGGTAAGTGAAGATAAGCAGTGTCCGATATGGCTTGAAAAGCAACTCCTGCCAAATTTTTCCTGTTTTGGATAGAGTATGCAAGGTTTACAACCTCTGTTAGGTTTGTTTTTTATGTCTCCTCACGTTTTGTCCTAGAACTGTGGTAGACAGCAGCACAAATATAACCTAGTTTCTGGTACTAATCTTCAAAATGAATTGCAACTGTACTTGTACTATATGTGAAAGTCCTTCTTTTCAAGATTTTATTTTTCCAAGCTTATTGTGTACAACCATCACAACCTCCATAAAGCCTGGTGCTCAACTTGCAGCCCTTTGGCACCTATTGTGCAGCCCTTGGATTCCCTGCAGGAAGCAGTCTGTATTTTGATGCTTCTTAAAGCCAGAGAAGGAAAATATATTTTGACTGGCTTGGATCACTTCTTTTTACACCTTCTTACTTTTCTGATATGTCCATCACCGATCTCTTATTCTGTTGTTTTTCCCTCTGATCTTTTATAATAGATCTTGTTGAGAGGAATATCAAATGTGGTACAAGTAATTTTAAGGAGGCTGAAGGGAGCACATGTAGAAGCACTTATTAATAATGGGGCTGTGATCTGGAGCTGTAATCTCGAGCTGTAATGTGTTTCCAGTCTCCTGATGCATGTTCTCTTGTAGCACATTCTGTCTCTGGTTATCTCTTGTATGTTGTCTGCAGTCTCTGACCATTTCTTGTGACAGGCTTATAATCTCTGACCTTCTCCTGTTGCATGTCTGAAGTCTTTGACAGCATCTATAGCATTATATTTACTGAAAATTATGTTTGGCTCTTTGATGTCAGAGGCCACACCAAGACCCCCTGTATCAAGGATATTGACCACCACTGCTGTAAGGTCTTTTGGTGTTTATAATATATTATGTTATAACCTGTTGTACCACTTGCCCCACCCTATTAGATTGTAAGCTCTTACGAGCAGGGCCCTTTTCACCCACTTGAGGTTTATTGTATTGTAAGTGTACTGTCTCCCTTTATATTGTAAAATGCTGCGCAAACTGTTGATGCTATATAAATGCTGTATTATTATAATAATGATAATAATATGGACCGGGGTTTTCTTGGCTAGCTATATATTTATAGCATTTGAAAGCTTTTTGGTGCTTTTTTATTCAACTTATGTAAAGAGAATTATCACCACAACTGAGAATTGCTTGGGGACAACCCTGATATGTTTGACTTTTTCAGATTGAGTTTGTAACTGGTACAAAGAAGGGAACAACTACCCACATCAACAGGAACAACCAGTACCACAACTACTGCCACAGCAGGTTAGTAGCCACAAATGTTTGTGTCTCTATAAGTAAGAGCTTTGATTTCTATTATTGATGTTGTTGGGGTATTGGAGCTTCTATCTTCTTAATGGTTAATTATAATAACCCCTTCTAAGAAATTTCCATCTTTGATGATTATTTGAATTTTGTTTATTGTATAGTTCCAAATTAACAAATGCACACATTTGTCATTACACATTTGTCAGATGCACAGAAAAGGAAAAGCAAATGGGACTCCGCTATACCGATGACTACTATTGCCCAGCCAACAATCCTCACCACAACTGCCACACTGCCTTCTGTTGTCACAGTAACTACCAGTGCAAGTGGATCAAGAACTACGGTCATTTCTGCTGTGGGGACTATTGTGAAGAAGGCTAAGCAGTGATTTATAGGAACACTTACGAACTAGACTTTAATGAAATACGAGTCTTTTGCGGACTCAGAACTCCTCAGTATGGCACACAATGGAGATTTTACTGCATGGGAATCACCGCATCAACAGCAGCTGGGAAGGGAAAATTGTATTCCCCCTGTTTTAACTGTGGAGAAGACTGTCTGGAATGGCAAACTACTTTGTGTCAGATTTGTTTTCCCTGATGTAAAAAGGTCTTTTCAGTTTTATTTTAGTTTAAAATTAAATTTTCTATTTAACAATTGGCTAAAGTCTTGTCATATTATTACCTTTTCTCCTGTTGTAGCACACAGTATGAGTTTTGTAGAACTTGTAACATTAGACATATGGCAGTATTCAACACTGATGCATTGTGATGTTTGCATATGTGCACAGACCATAGGCAGTCCTAATTTATGAGTGCCTAAAATCAAAGAGGACCTGAACCATAGAAACTGCTCTCAAAAAAAAGGCAGGCAGTGGTATAACACTAGTCACCAGTATTGCCTGTGGGCTGTAAGCAGCCAACCCTTTTCCCCTTTTCTGAATTGTTGTACACTGCATGGAGGTTGGCATCTTGGTAGAGGCAATGCTTTATATCCACATGTTAGAACTGCCCCCTATGATTGTAGATTTGGTACAGGAATATTTAAGAAGCAAGAGAGGTGAAGAAAGCAAATATCTGCAGAATAAATGAAGCAGGGGGATCTTGACACTGCCGCACATCAGATGCAGCTTCTTCTCCAGCAACTAGAACAGTGAACAGAACAATACTAGCGTTACCAAATCTCTCTCTCTCTGGTAACACTAGCAGTCAGGCATCAGATATACACACCTACAGAAAGTTCACTGTTTTTTTGGGGGGTTTTTTCAGGAGGAATTTAATACAATAGGTTACTGTTTCCAGTGGTCTCCTTAAAGAGGAACATAACTCTCCCTTACAATTTTTGTTTTATTTTACTTGCACCAATTGTCCTCAAAAACCATATTCACATAGCCAACAAATCCAGGCTTTTCTATTATAACTTTCCCTTTTTGGTGCCACACTTCAGGTCCTTTACTGATGTCTACTGATGTCATCAGAGGGCCAGGGCCAGGTGTCCTTTCTGTGTTCTTTCACCTGCCTCTATTGATGTGATTCTGCGGATTATGGACTTTGTCCAGCACATGTGTAACATGCATGAGATTGCTTTAAAGCCTCCTGTAATGGATGATATGTGTATTATAGGGGGCTTCAGGAAGAGCTGATACATAAGTCTCACTTGGGTCCCTTTCATTTGAAGGGTCCAATCGGGTGTACCTGTCAGTTTTTCAGGTGGACCTGATTAGACCCTCCATTCACTTCTATGGACTGTCCTTTTACACCCACCTACCTCCAATACGATCCGGTCCGTTAAAAAAAAATGGAAGGGGATCCATCCTCTTCTGTTTAGGTAGATCAAAGGGCAGTCGGGTATAAATGGACAGCAGAATCTATTTACAATCCACGTGGAACGAGTGTAAAATACATGTAAAAACACAGTACCAAAATGGCCGCAGCGGCGTGACGTCAGCAAGTGTGGCTCCTCTCGATGCGTTTTCGCATGCACGTCTTCAGAGGTTAATCCCCAGGGCGGTGACCCAGGAGCAGAAGGAACACCATGTCAAAGTCTGGAGTGGGCGTACTCCTGAAGACGTGCATTCGCACGAAACGCATCGGGGGGAGCCACACTGACGTCACACGGCTGCAGCTTGGAGCGGCCGCTTATGCCTAGCCATTGAGGTATGTTGTGGTATCGCACATTACATGCATTGGCACACTAAGGCAATGCAGCTCCAACATGCATGCATTGCATAGCACCACAACACATAGTAATGCTGCATGTCAAGTTTTTTTTGTCTGTTCTTGTGCATTGGCAGTCCATTTAAATAAGCAGGCTGCCTTAACAAAACTGCTAGCTTAAACTTTAACATACAATTGCTGATTTTCAGTTAATTGGCGTGCATTTTCTCATGCACTAATGATGCCCAAACCAGTACACAGATTTTTTTATATATGTTTAATATTTGAATTAATGGATGAAATCCCCTTAGGTTAACATAATGTTAAGCCGTGAGTGAAGTATTGTGCATTGGGCAGGGTGATGATCCTGGAACTTTTGTTTGGTGCCGTTCCAATGAAATGTATAAAGAGGACTGCCTGAAGAAAAAAATGCAAATTTCCACAGTCATTGATATGGGGTTGCATGTCTGGTAAAGGTACGAGGGAGATGACCATCATTAAATCTTCAATAAATGCACAAGTTTACAGTGAGGAACAAAAGTATTTGAACACCCTGCATTTTTTTTTTTCTACACAATTAAACAAATGAATGAACATTTTGCAGGAGTGGGGATTCCATACCACACATGCCAGGGGTTGTATACATAATCTTAAAATAGAAGGACCAACTTCCCAATGGAGAACCATCCAGACCCAATGTAAGTCACCATAAAGACAGCAAAGTAGTTCTTCTCCGCCGCACAGCCACCGAAGGAGTCTGGCCACGAAGGTCCCGCCGTAGCCGGGCTCCTTCGGTGGCTGTGCTCCCTTCTTCCGCCGCACAGCCACCGAAGGAGCCCGGCTACAGCGGGACCTTCGTGGCCAGACTCTGCATAGCCTGCCTGAGATTAAGTGGGGGACCGCATACAAGCCTGCCTGAGAAACCAGCTTAGGGGATTGCTTGCCCGCTGCCGAGACCCCCAGTCCAGGGGATTGCTTGCCCGCTGCCGAGACCCCCAGTCCAGGGGTGAGATTGTCCACTGCCGAGACCCCCAGTCCAGGGGAGAGGTTGCTAGCCAGCTGTCGGAGACCTCAGCCCAAAAGGGGAGACCGCCCGCATATTCCGGACCTCAACAGGTACCTGTGTCCTACCTTCTATCAATGGGAGACCAGGCACCCTGTCGGATCCGTGAGTATATGCACTCTCCCTGTTTTATCTGAACTGTTCCTGTGATGATGACCCGCCACCGCCCCGTTGGATTACAATCTGCTATAGAAACTTTCTCTTTGCTCTCTTTGCTTCTCCGCTCTGTGTGTTCTGTCCTGCCTACCCTCCGTCACAGTATTCTTCTCGCTATAGGTCTATTTACCTCTCTCCAAATATAGCACTTATGGTTGTGATCATAAAGCTCTATTTTGGTCTCATAATTTCAGATTACAGTGTGGCAGATGCTGTGAGGCATGTCAGAGTGTTGTCGGGCATATTGTATCTGGGCTTTTTTGTGGCATTGGTGCAGTAAAGGCTTCTTTCTGGCAACTGGACCATGCAGCTCATTTTTGTTCAGGTATTGTATTGTGCTCCTTGAAATGAGCACACCGTCTTTTTCCAGAGCAGCCTGGATTCCCTATGGGTTTTTCTTTGTATCTCAAACAATCCTTCTGGCAGTTGTGGCTGCAATCTTTCTTGGTCTACCTGACCTTGCCTTGGTATCAACATCAACAGATCCCCGAATGTTCCACTTCTTAATAAGTGATTGAACAGTACTGACTGGCATATTCAAGGCTTTGGATATCTCTTTATATGCGTTTTCATTTTTTTTTTTTAAAGTTTCATTACCTTGTTGCGCAGGTCTTTTGACAGTTTTCTATCTGCTCCCCATTGCTCAGTATCTAGCCTGCTCAGGACATTCACGTGAGAGTAAAAAAAACTCATTGACTATTTATACACAGACACAAATTGCCATTTAAAAAGCCACAGATGTGGGAAATTAACCTTAAATTGCCATTTTAATCCTGTGTGTGTCACCTTGTGTGTCTGTACCAAAGCCAAACATTCCAGGGTATGTAAACTTTTGATTTCTATTATCATTATGAAACAAAAAGGAGCCAAACAACTATGTGATAATAAGTGGATTAATGTGATCACTATGGAATGGCATGATCAGTCACACGTTTAATATTCGTGCCAAATTTTCACAATATCTGCCAGGGTATGCAAACATTTGCGCATAACTGTATATATACAGTATTACATACATTACATATTGTTAGGCAAACAGTTAACCCCTTGGTTGCCCCTAGATGTTAACCGCTTCCTAGCCAGTGTCAGTACAGTAACAGTGTACAGTATTCACGCTGATCACTGTATTAATGTCACTATTGATATCCGTGTCAGACAGTGTACCTCCCATCCAGCATCTGCTAGCACCAGATTCCCCACCACACTAACACAGTCCCACTATAAGTTGATCACCGCCATTATTAGTATAGCATCATAGCTGTGTAAATTTCAGTGTATATATACCGTTTGTCGATGCTATAATTTTCACACAGACCAATATACACTTATTGGAATTTTTGTTTTCATAACTGAAAATACTGTTTTTTTTCCCCCCAAAATTTTCAGTTTTTTTGTTTATTTAATAAAAACCCAGTGGTGATGAAATAGCACCAAAAGAGAGCTGTATTTGTGTTGCATGACCAAGCAATTACCAGTTAAAGTAGCACAGTGCTGAATAGCAAAACAATATCCTGGTCACAAAGGGGGTAAAGCTTTCCAGAGCTCAAGTGGTTAAGGAAAACAAAATATTTTGGCTTCTGCTTTGGAAAAAAATGTATATTGTTGCAATTCAATGCACTAAAAAAAAGGATGTCAATACATGTCAGCTCAAGTACACTTAATGCAGGCTGCATTCCTGAAGGCATAGAGCTCTACAAGCAGGTATACGCTGTGTTCCCGTTCAGCCGTAGCCTGCCATTGACTTTGACAGGCTGCAGGCTGTGGGGTTGGATGATGTGCGTTGCACCTCTCCCTCCAGGGTGCCCTAAAATGCCCAGAGGGACACACTGCAGCTAGACAGCCCCTGGTGCAAGGGCTTTTCAACAAAGGTGGTGCAGTTCATTTAACTAATGCAGGTTAGGTTGTTTTTTTTTTTAGATAGATTCACAGAGCTTAAGGGCTTTGATTGCTTGATTTCTGTATGTACAAATTGGTAGGCTCTGTTATCCTGTCTGCCATATTTTTTA